CATGATGAAACTGGGACTATACTATAACAACTTTTGTCGTAGTTGTGGCTTTGCGGATGAGAAAAGAAACGTGCCCCACCTCATGTGTCACTGTACATCTTTAGCTAAGAGAAGATCTAAAATCTTCTGGCTCCAGCATATGCGCAGCGATTAATGATACTTGGAACTCATTTTTTAAAGAATATTAACAAGCTTCAAGACTTCTTTTTAAGAAGAATTTTAAGGCTTGCTAAAGGTTTAAAGTGTTTTTAAATCGCTTGAGTTTTTTTACAGTAGTATAGTGTCTTAATAGATCCCTAAAAATAGCAGTGTAACTTAACTTAATACAAAAGAATCTTAAATTAATATTTTCGTTTTTTACTTATGCTCTTGAACAAAACCTTATTTTTTATTTTCTTTAAGAATTGATTCGTTATATTTATATTTAAGTATATTGTGAATTTTTTGCTTGCACACTTTTCGAACGCATTCTGAACCAAGCCACTTTATAAATTTTTGAATTGAATGAAAGCAGCAATCAAAACAAAATATAAAATTCGAATCAAAATGAGAACAAACAGCGATTTGGATCATAATAGCGACAAGCAGTTGAAAAATATTGAAAATATTCAAAACGAAGTGCATAAATTGGAAGTCTGCCATAATGTATGCAATAGTCTAGCCAATAATTTACAGGAATTAATATTAAAACTGGAAACGTTAAAAAAAGAAAAGGATGAACTGGTACATGCCATAACAAAGTCTGAGCCTGAAGATATGGAAACTCTTAAGAATCATATATTAGATGAGAATGCAGATTATGATTCACAGAGTGAGTTTTAGATTTCACAAAACAATGTTTATCTAATTTAAATTAAATTTTTCCTTTATAATATTTCAGATATTTTAGAAGAAAAGGATGTAGCAAGTGATCTACAAAATTTGTATTGTTTGTTGGGCTATTCTATAACTGATGCTGAATTTATAGAAGGAAAAATTAATGTTTTAACAGTAAATAATTTATAATTAGATTGTAAACCATAAGAATAAAATCATATATTTTTTATTTAAACAGTTTAACTACAATGCAAGATGTTATGTGAAATTGGCGAATGAAGAAGATTGCTGGCATTTAATTGAAATCTATCCCTCTCATCCAAATTTTGATAGCATCAAAGAATTTCTGTATAAAACGCAAGATACATCTGGATTACTTAGAAATTTAAGAAAATATTTTGCTGACTCAAGTAGTGATTAATGAAGCTTTATTAAATTTTATTAATAACATTTTTCATATGATTTGGATAATTATAATTAATTTTATTCATTGTAATTACATTTTTTTCTATCCGTTTCTATGTTTGCTGTAAATATATCACACTTCTCTCAAATTTGTTATAAAATATAAAATTATTATTATTTGATAAATTATTATATTCAAACAATTATATATGTCTTTTAAACTGTGTCTTGTATCCAATTAAGGGCGCCTCGAATACGGCGCAACCGTGCTCGAGACAAAAAACTAGAAATTAACAAATATTCCACATAAGTACGACGTCCGCCGTGATTAAAATTTAACGTTTCATTTAATATTTGAGTGATGTTCCGACCTTCACACATAACTTTGGTTGTAAGCGAGAGTAACCATTGTAAAATCTAAAAAAAAACATCTTAAAAAAAAATTCTTAATTTAACAAATTACTTATATACTTCTGGACTATTTGGTATGCCTTCTGGTTTCAACCAGTACGATGGTGCCCACAAATATAACTGCATTATATTAGCAGCAATATCGGGACTTACTCGTTTGGACGAATTTGGATTAAGTATATTGTAAATCAATTTTCGTACCAAGTAGGGACAATCATTACTTAATGCAGGTAATTGCTCTTCTCGGTAGTCGGAATTCCTTAGGGAATTTGTTTGTTCGCCATTTATTGCTGCCATACCACCACTACTGGAATAGAACGGATTTGGAGAACCAAATATTTCGTATGCAATTGCACCACATGCCCACAAATCAGCTTTTTTGTAATCTAACACAGCAAATGAACCCGGTCGTTTATTAATGATTTCAGGGGCCATTAAAGCTGCATTACCGCCTTTATCGATATCGAACGATGTATACGGTACTTCTAACCCATGTACCTTGTCAGCAAGACAACAACCAAAATCGGATAGTACCAAAACAGGTGGTGTATTATCATCATTTACTTCAATTAATATATTATCTGATTTAAGATCTCTATGTGCTATTCCATGTCGACTTATATGTGCTACTGCTTCCAATAATTGTGCAAATAATAACAATTTAGTGCGTGCACTTAGTTCATGTGTGTCCAATAAAGATCGTAGACTGTAGTCATAGCGTTTCATTAGTAAATATAACGACATATTTCTGCCATAACCGAGAGGATTTATACGCTGTGGCTGAGCTATTGGATAAAGCAAATGCCCGTCTGGAAAATTACGCACTTCATCGCAAAAGAAACCATACATGCAAACGATATTTGGGTGCGGAGGCAATGTTAATGTTTGATTAGATATTAAACGTTCCCATTCCTCAGATGAAGCGTTCATACGACGTTGACGAGCGGGCACAGTTTCTTTGTACATAGCGCGTAAAATTGAAAGAGCGTTGCTTTGTATGTCGTAGTTAAACATCATTTTCATTGCAATTGGATAGCGAGTGATATCAGTATTTAAACATTCCTAAAATAAGAAAAAATGGAAAGAATAGAAATTATTGCAAAATTTGCAGTTATAAAAAAAATATAAAATAATTATTATATAGATCTATTATATATTAATTATTATAACTTACAAGAATTTGAGAATATAAAATAATTATATGTGATAATTATAATACTAATAGAATGAAAATATTAAAATAATATATTAAATATTATAACTTACAAGAAGTTGAGAGTCGTTTTTAGTATTGGAAGCAGCATTATTCATTTCCTGTCCACGTATTTCATCTTGTCGTTTTATATCGTCTTCATTAAGATCTCGATCAGCTAAATCTTTTAAAAATGAAGTTGCTGCATTGCTTTGAGAATAGATATTTAAATTATCTACTGAGCCTCCGAAATTGTGTACAAATCGTGACATATTTTGTATGGGTGACATTATATCGAAATTAAGCGTTTGTTGTTGCAAAGCATTACGATCTGGATTGGCTTCACTTACATTTTCAGTAGTATATGATATATTGGTATTATCATTGGAAGAGCTGTCTTTGAGAGCTGCAGCATAAACGACAGCAGCACAACCTTTAGCAATTGGTGGCCCAATATCCAATTTATCTATATTAAAGTCTTCATCTAAATTTTTTGAGATATCATCGTAATCCCATGAAGCCTGTAAACGCGCAACAGCTTCTCGTATCTCCCAACATACACCTTCCAATTCATCTTCTTTTGTCAATACACCGGCACCCGATGCTAAACTAACTCCAACTAAGGCAAAAAATGGAGCAGAATCACCGTAGAACAATTTTTTAGTAGCCTGACTACGAAGTTGTTCAGAATATTGAGTAGTGACACGATTTAATATATTATCAATGAAAACTTTTCGTGCATGTTCACCAAATCGAAAGAGTCCAGTTCGTGGAATCGATGCATTTGGAGATTTAAGCGAAACACTAACCGCATTCTTTGTGACATTTAGTGTTGGTCTATGTGTCGTAGACTATAAAAAAGATTTTGGTATATATCAGTAGATTATATAGTATAAAAAAATATGAGTGTGTACTTACCCTAACAACTCTGGTCGAAATAGGCACACGTTTTCTTGTGTTAGATTGTTCTTGTTCCAAAATGTTGGTATATATATCTCGTTTACAAAAGCTTTGTAGAAAGTAACGACCATGTTTAACAAGTCGGGTAGTAAGCAAACGCACAGACATTTTTCTTAAGTGCCTTCCCCTGATAAGTGCCTTGCACACCAATTTTCAACAAAAACAAAAGTTGTGTTATAAAATTAGAATATCTAAAAAACTGAGAAAATTAGTGATTAATTATGTCCAATTATTTGTGAAATTTGTTTTGCTTACGTTTTTATTAAGTTATCTTTTAATAAATTTTATTTTTAAACCGCACGGGGCGGTGTGTGTGTAACATTGGAAAAATTTTATTGCGTTTTGTTTTATTAGATAATCAAAAACAAGTTGGAAAGCAGTTTGACATATAAATTACATATGAATTTATCTCGCAAATATTTGATTTTTATTCTCAATTTAATTTCGTTAAAAAAATTCTAATATAGTTTCACATTTGCTATAAAACTTTTTGTACTGTGCAATCTCTAAATTTAGCCTTTGTCATAATAAAAACAAAGTTTTCGCAAAATACTTTTTCTCATTCACAATAGATGGGGAGCAAAACAAATCTTTAACCCCAAAAAGACTACATTTCTCTGATTTACACACAGCAACTGAGTTTGCAATTTTGTCAACAAATTCATTAGTGTTAAAAAATTACTTATAATTATTTTACTTACCTTGAATTCATAAAATGCAAAATAATGTTTTAATATTTTTACGAAAGGATATTTTAACAACTTACAAATTGTAGAACAAAGCCAACAATTCGAAAATCATGTATTTTAAAAATTTACAAATTATACAATATAGTCAACATTTCTGAAATCATACATTTAAAAAATTTTCTATAACAATAACAGAGTAAAACAAAGTAAAAACGAACACAATACGAAATTTATATAACATCAACTTTTATAATTAAATAATTTTGGTATAACATCTCCACATTTTGCATCCAATTTAATATCAGCTAAATGATCTGCGCGAGTAGGTCCAATATTAACAATAGTTACAGGTAAATTTAAATCTTTTGACTGCAGCACCATACGATACCCAGAAAACACTAATAAACTAGAACCGAGCACCAATAAGCCATCACTATTATATATCATTTCTGCTATTTTATCAACGCGTGTTTTAGGCACATTATCACCAAAGAATATAATTTCTGGTTTCATGTTGCCGTTACATTTCGGACATGCTGGTACTTTAAAGCTTTTTATGTGTTCTACTGGAATTTCAACATCTCCATCTGGTCTAATCATATCTACTGCTGAATCTCTCAAAGCGGGGTTCATGCTGTTTAAGATATCCTGATAATTATGACGATCAATACGATAATCACATGAAAGGCATTCAACGACATAACCACTACCATGAATTTCAACAACGTTGCGAGAACCGGCTTTTATGTGTAAACGATCAACATTTTGAGTAACAACTCCTTGTATACGTTCCTCACGTTCAAAACGTGCTAAGGTTTGATGTACGGCATTTGGTTCAGTTGCGGAGAATTTAGTCCAACCAACGAAATTTCTTGCCCAGTAGCGTTGTCGTACATCAGCTGATTTTAGGAACTCTATATATTGAATTGGTTTGTGATTGGTTCGAGCATATAAGCCAACTCCCTCAGATCTATAGTCAGGTATGCCTTAAACATTAATTTAATTTGGGCATATTATTATTTTATATGTTATTTAAAAGTAATATATTTATAATACCAGATTCTGTTGATATTCCTGCACCAGTTAACACCAATGTTTTTGGTTTAGAGAGTAAAAAGTTTTCTAAACGTTTTATATCTTCTTCTAAAACTTTGTTATGCTTGGGCACAAATTGCTGTTTGGCACTGAAATCAATTTGTCCAAAATGGAACCTTAGATTTTGTGTAAACCTCATCTTACACCAAATCCATAAACACTATTTAAACTTTTGAAAAAATGTTTGATAATTTTTGCGTTATTTAGAAAAATATTTTAGCAATCATAATCAGCTGACAAAAATGATATGGTAAATTTAAGCGGCTCTTACAATATGTAATTCACAATAAACAAAGAAGTATTTTGAGAATAGCACTACGTTTACATCAAAGATAGTTTTCTTTAGTTTACACTATATGCCACACAAATATGGATATAATAATATGTAAATGAACTTCAATAATTATAAACATAATATACAATAAGCTGATAGCTTATTAACTTATCATAAGTAATCGTTTGGTTCATTCGTTTCACTCGATAACAAAAACTATTTAAAATTATAATTAAATCTTATAAAGATTAAAATAAATTGTTTTTGCAATGTTCGGCATATTTATTGTAGTTAAATTGTGTTAAAAAATATTTATTAAAATTAAGTAATATATGAAATTCTAAATTAATTCCAAATTCAAAACAATGCATTCATTTTATTTTTCCATATCACATGTCTAAACATAAATTTGATTTTTAAAAATATTTAAATAATAGTGTGTTACAATAACAAAATTATAATATGATTAATGAAATGCTAATCTATTTTTTAAATTGAACAAGTTTAAAGTTCTAATCCTGGCACTTATAGTGCAAAAATCATATAAAGAATATATATAAATATATATATTCATGATATATATTACATATTCATGTCTATTCAAGGAAATATATTATGATGATTATGGTGATAATTTGAAACGGCTATATGATCAGCAAAAAAATTAAATTAATTAAAACAAATAAATTTTTGTTATCGTAATTAACAAAAATCAATAAATATGCATTTATTGATGCATATTTATTATGAGGTTATTTACTACAAAGAAATCATCCGTCGAATACGAAGTGGGACAAAAAATAATAA